TTACTTGTAGGTTATTTCACTATCATTTCATTTCAGGTTTATTGTTGCTTAATATAATTGTTATTTTCAACTATTCTTTTTTAATTATTCTTTTTTACTTGTTTCAGGGATTTCAAATCATTTTATATAGTAGACAATGGAAGTCCGAACTAGTGAAATTCATCACGAAACATTGTCAATCACCTTCAAACAAACATCAAAATTAAATGTTATTCTGAATATCTTGATTTAAAAAACTCGCAATATATTTAGAAGTCAGAAAAGTAAGTTATATTGTGAAAAAAATGAAGAAAAAATCGCAAACGAAGAAACAAGAGAAATGGTTCATAGAAAATTTGCAGACCTATAACTTTTGTATTCAATATTTTTCAATAGCAGTTCTAGTTTTAGTGGTTATCATGATAAACCAACCTCTCCCCTTACCTTAGATCTACTTTAATTTATTTTTCCCGTAATGAGATATGCTGTTGATCATTTTCTACCCTCAAAAATTATTTCTAACGGTCTACATTACAATCATGAGAAATTTTCTTGAAACACCAAAACTATGCTCGAAAGTGATCCACTGATGAATTGCAATTCAAATTTTCGTTCTAATATCAATACTAGGGTCTATTTGTTCGTTTTTTTCTACTCAACTTTGTTCTATAGATGACGAAGGAATCGTTCGATTTCTGTTCTGGTTCAACGGGTTATTCCTGGACTGTCAGGGATTTATTACTACCAGGCATACTGTTTCGTGCAGTTTCAAAACGTTTTTGGATTTAGGAGTAAGAACAAATCTGTCTCTCATGAGCCAATACTGATGAGTGGATGGGCTCGTATCCGACGCTCGTCTGCACCGGTTTTTATTCAACAAGAAAAATCAGAAGTGACGCAGCAACTGACTACTGATAGGCAGAGGTTCGTTTTGTGTGACATGTGGCTAGAGGAAATCCAAAACTTTCCTATTCAGAACTAGAACAGCAATTTTTAGATACTTCAGGTGTGTCGGTTTCATTTGACAATGAGGAAAATATATTGTGTTCCACGTTTATGTAGTTTAATATATTTACAGGTTCCAGACCAATTTGATGTCGTGCATTCGACACTAAACCAAGACAGTTGGAAATTAACGAAATTTCATGTTTTCAGAGTAAACCAGAAATGGTCTTACGTCAGCTGACCGTCGAATCCTAATGTGGTTCTAAGAGCTCCAGAAAGACAAATTAGTCTTCAGGTCGCTAGATGAGTTCCAAAATACAGAAGAAC